GAAATGCAAATCAAAACCACATTGAGATACCACCTAATACCAGTAAGAATGGCCATCATTAATAAAACAAACAACAGAAGCTGGCGAGGATGCAGAGAAAAAGGAACACTTCTACACTGCTGGTGGGAAGGCAACCCAGTGCAACCTCTTTGGAAGACAGTGTGGTGATTTCCGAAAGAACTAGAAATTGACCTTCCACATTACCCAGCAATCCCCCTATTGGGAATATACTCAGAGGAATTCAAATCATTCTACAAAAAAAGATACCTGCACATGTGTGTTTGTTGCAGCTCTATTCACAATAGCAAAAACATGGAGCCAACCATGCTGCCCATCAAAGCTGGACGGGATTAAAAAAATATGGTACATATACACAATGGAATATTATGCAGTCATAAAGAAGGACAAACATATGGACTTCACAGCAACTTGGATGGTTTTAGAGTCGATCATACTAAGTGATCTATCACAGAAACAAAGAACAGAATACTGTATGTTCTCACTCGTCAGTGGACCTTGAACAATTATCATAACACTATAAAAGGGATGAGCAGTAATGGAAACTGCCAGAGGAGGGGGCGTGAGATTGGCAGTTGAAGGAAACTGCTATGGAAGGCAGGGGCATACCTCATCAACAAGGGTATCTGCATAATCAACATTTGTATACCTAATCCTGAATTGTACCCCACATCTTTTAAAAAAAAAATCTCAAAAAAAAATTCACTGAAGCCAAATGTAGCCTCTCTCAACACTAGCAGATACACTGACGCTGACGGGTTCCTAGAACAAATACCTAGCCTGTACTACAAGGGACCTGCCCTCTGTAAAATAATTCTGGGTTTTTTTGGGTCCCCCCATCATACATATTTAGAGACAGGGTCTCGCTCTGTTGCCAAAGCTGGAGCATTGGAGTGCAGTGGCACAATCATGGCTCACTGCAACCTCAAACTTCTGGGCTCAAGTGATTCACCCACCTCAGCCACCAGATTAGTTGGTACTATAAGTGTACATCACCAGGTCCAAGTAATTTAAAAAAAAAAATTTATAGAGATAGGAATCTTGCTACGTTACCCAGGCTGATCTTAAACTCCTAGTCTGAAACAATCCTCCCGCCTTGGCCTTCCAAAGTGCTGGGATTACAGTTGTGAGTCACTACACCTGGCCTGTGTTTAATTTTGAGCCAATATAACCAAACCAAAAGGTCCATGTTGTCCCTTAATTCATAGTTTAGAGAATATAAATAGTACCAAATGGTACTATTTTTTTCACCAAATAGTACTACTTCTGATTAGTCACTTTTTGGTTTTACCAGCAAAGTCAACACTATTTTAAACTTATTTTATTATAGATATATCACTGTCCTTCACACTGGCCAGTTCCCCAGTAGGGAGTTAGGTTTCTACAGATTAGGAATAAGGACAAATGAAAAATGGGGTTGGGGGGGAGATCCTTACAAATACTTGTCTCAAATTTCAGAAGGATACGTAGGCAGTTGTACATGTCCTGAAGAGGTTTCTCATCAGCAAACAGCCTAGACTGCACCAGCTGATGGATAAAGTTGATCTGCATACTATGAACCAAAGCTCGCCCATCTTCCATTAGCAGGAAAAAAGAAGGTAGTTAATTAGAAAGGTGTACAAGTTGAGTCATAGTCCTAAGGAAGCATATATTAACAATGAATTTTTTTTTAAAGAACTGAAATCATCTATGAAAACTAGAGAACTTTATACTCTGAGAAACACTGAAACTTCCATGGTCAGTAGGTAGTTATGATTATCACAAAACCTACTTCAAATTACAGGACAAACTGCTTCACACAATTATTATTCTGCAGGAATATATCAATAATATAAAAATATCAAGCATTTAAATCAATACTTAGGATTTAAATCAGTACTTATGATTTACCTCCTGTTTCCTTATCTTCAACTAGAATTTCTAGCTTGAGAAGACGCCATGGAACATCAGGGTCATCTCCCATCACGGTCAAGGTGGCTTCGAACTCTCCTTCAACACGAAACTTCACTCGGCCATTTGCTTTTAGGAGGAAAAAAGTGTACTTTGTAGAAAATAAGCAGCTTTTTGCTGACCTAGACCTTCCATGTAAGAAATTTAGATTGAAGAACTCTCAAGTGTTCAAAGAAATCAAGGGTTCTTAAATAAGCAGTAGCCAGCTCCCAGGTCATCAAGAAACCAAAGGCAACTCTTCTAACATAAACAAACAATATTTTTTGAGGTTCAACTCTGAGGCTTCTCTCCTCCAGCCCCTGGTGATCTTATCCACTCCCAAGCTTCGAATACCAGTATTTAATATTTCTAGATACTAAAGAGAAATATGTCAGAAATGAGAACACCACCAAAATTGTGAGTCAAAACTTCATAAAGATATTTCTTTGAATAAAACCCAAAAGGCCGCTTATGAAAATATTCTAACATGTCAACTCTTAAAAACAATAAATTTCAGGTACATACCAACTGTAAGATTTGCTAACTGAGGAGGAAGATCTGTGGTTACAAGCCGATGTCTAAGAATCTGATTCAGCTGATGAAGTGTGGCTTGTTTTTCAATTTTGGTAATTGGGTCTGGAGGAATAATTTTATCCTACAAAAAATTTAAGTGACTTTAAAATAACGTACAAAGAGGGACATAAGGGATATATTTTTTAACCTATGTCTGTCTTTATACAATGCTTTCTTACTTTACCCAAGAAAATCCCAACACTCATTTCTGCAGTCTATATCCAATAACAGTACCATTACTATCACCCATTAGAGCACTACTGATTTCACTAGTAATTTATTTTTATTCATTCGTTTATTTATTTTTTTGAGTTGGAGTCTCACTCTGTTGCCCAGACTGGAGTGCAGTGGCACACTCCTGGCCACCACAGCCTCGAACTGCTGGGCTCCGGCGATCCTTCCGCCTCAGCCTTCCAAGTAGCTGGAACTACAGGCATGCGCTACCAAGCCCGGCTAATTTTTGATTTTTTATTGTAGAGATGAGGTCTCGCCAAGTTGCCCAGGGAAGTCTTGAACCCGCGGGCTCAGGCAATTCAGTCACCTCAGCCTCCCAAAGCGCGTGACGACAGGCTGAGCCACTGAGCCCGGCCTTCATCAGTAATTTAACTAAGATCATAATACATATGATCTTCTTCATACTCCATTCATGAACCAACTTAATATCATTCTATGACTTCTACCAGTTCTTAAAAGTATAAAATACAATATGGCACCAAGTCTATAAACTATCACAACAACAAATTTTTAAAGCACTTCCAAAAAGCAACTAGCATGCAGCATTTTCATATCTGAAACAGACGTTGAGTTAGGTGTGAACATCTGCTCACCTCTACCCCCCCAAAAAAAAAGATTCACCTATTTTGATACCTACTCATATTCTGGTCCCAATTTATTTCAAAAAGTTTTTTTAAGCCAGGTTCAGTGGCTCAGCCTGTAATCCCGCGCCTTTGGGAGGCTGAGGCGAGTGGATTGCCTGAGCCCGCGGGTTCGAGACCCACCTGGGCAGCGAGACCTCATCTCTACAATAAAAATTAAAAAAAAAAATCAGCTGGGCATGGTAGCGTATGCCTATAATTCCGGCTACTTGGAAGGCTGACGCGGAAGGATCACCAGAGCCCAGCAGGTCGAGGCTGCGGTGGCCGGGAGCGGCCACTGCACTCCAGTCTGGGCTACCGAGTGGGACTCCAACTCAAAAAAAAAAAAAAAAAAGTTTTTCTAGTTATAAAGAACAAACAAATATAAGGACATTTATTTTTAAAATATGCTTAATAATATGGTAGAAGCCGGGCTCGGTGACGCAGCCTGTAATCCTGCGCTTTGGGAGGCTGAGGTGAGTGGATTGCCTGAACCCGCGGGTTCGAGACCCGCCTGGGCAACTTGGCAAGACCTCATCTCTACAATAAATCAAAAAATTAGCCAGGTGTGGTAGTGCACGCCTGTAATTCCAGCTACCTGGATGGCTGAGGCGGAAGGATCGCCGGAGCCCAGCAGGTCGAGGCTGCAATGGCTGGAAGTGCCCACTGCACTCCAGTCTGGGTGACAGAGTGAGACTCCAACCAAAAATAAAATAAAATAAAATAATAATATGGTAGAATTCAATGCCAAAGCCTTTCACTTTTAGGAACACATGAACAAAGCACTTACCCTAATGCAGGTTGGCAGCCGTGGGTAAGATCCAGTAGTTAGTACATCAATGGCATATGGGATGGCAAAACTAGGCAGGCGTGCATGGACCAGAGCATCTCTAGCTAATGAGGCCAGGCGGTCAGCGGTGTCCACAAACAGGATAGCTTGCTGATCTAAAAAGCTGGAGATCATCTTTAAAGTAAAGAGTAAATGTATTCAGCTTCCTTGAAAACTATCTGCTTTTCATATTAAATATCATTTAATTATTCCAAAGCAAACTTCAAGGAGCATATAGATTTTCCATACTTCAAAATAGTTCCTTAAAAACTCTTTCAGTAATTTGAATAAGAAATATTTAATACATTTGTATTTGGCATTAAAAATAGTAATTTTCTGCCACTTTAAGTAAAATGTTTCTAATTCATTTCTGCATCCTTAACATTATACATACATATCAGAAGTTAGAAAAAGTAAACAGAATAAATGCATTTTATTCTACAGACTTCCAGAGTTGGTTAGTAATGAAGTAGTTATAAGCATGGACTCCTGGACCTAGTTTGCCTTGGTCTCAATTTTAACTCTGCTACTTACTAGCCCTATAACTTTGGGCACATCACTTTCTCTGTGCCTCAGTTTTCTTCAAGTGAAAAATGGAGATGATAATGATTCCCAACCTCAAAAAGTTCTCATGATTAATTTAATGCATATAACCAATGGAACACAATAGAAAACCCAGAAATAAATTCACACACTTACAGCCAACTCATTTGTGACAAAAGTGCCAAGAAAATACACCAGGAAACAGACAGCCTCCTTAATAAATGGTGCTAGGAAAATGGGTATCTGTAAGCAGAAGAAAACTAAATCCTAATCTTTAACCATACACAAACATCAACTCAAAATGGATTAGACTTAAATATAAGACCCGAAACAGCCGGGCTCGGTGGCTCAGCCTGTAATCCCGCGCCTTTGGGAGGCTGAGGTGAGTGGATTGCCTGAGCCCACGGGTTCGAGACCCGCCTGGGCAGCGAGACCTCATCTCTACAATAAATAAAAAAAAAAAATCAGCCGGGCGTGGTAGCGCATGCCTGTAATTCCGGCTACTTGGAAGGCTGAGGCGGAAGGATCGCCGGAGCCCAGCAGGTCGAGGCTGCGGTGGCCGGGAGCGGCCACTGCACTCTGGTCTGGGTGACAGAGTGAGACTCCAACTCAAAAAGAAAAAAAAAAAGACCTGAAACTATGAAACTACTAGTAGAAAACATTGGGGAAACGAGACAGGACATTGGTCTAGGCAAAGCCTTTTGGGGTAAGACCTAAAAAGCACAGGCAACAAAAGTAAATAGAGACAAATGAGATTATTGCAAACTGAAAAGCTTCTGCACAGCAAAAGAAACAACAGAGTGAAGAGATAGTCTACAGAATGGGAGAAAACATGTGCAAACTATTCATCCAACAAAGGACTAATAACCAGAATATTTAAGGAACTCAACAGTAAAAAAACCAAATAACTCAATTTAAAAAACGGACAAAAACCTTGAATGGCTTCTTCTCCCAAGAAGATACAAATGACCAATAGGTATATAAAAAAAAATTCCTAACATCACTAATCATCAGGGAAATGTAAATCAAAACAATGAGGGGCCAGGTTCGGTGGCTCATTCCTGTAATTCCAGCTTTGGGAGGTGGAGGTAGGAGGATCACTTGAGCCTAGAAGTTCAAGACCAGCCATGGCAACATAGAGAGCCTTCATTTCTATCAAAATAAAATAAAAATAAATAGCCGGGCATAGTGGTGCATATCTGTTGTCCCAGCTATTTGGGAGGCTGATGCAAGAATACTGCTTGAGCCTAGGAGTATGAGGCTGCAGTGAGCCATAATCATGCACTTCAGCCTAGGCAATAGAATGAGATCCTGACAAACAAACAAAAAGCCCCAAAAACCACCACAATGAGATATCATCTCACTCCAGTTAAAATGGCTATTATCAAAAAGACAAAAATTAACAAATGCTGAGCCGGGCTCAGTGGCTCAGCCTGTAATCCCGCGCCTTGGGAGGCAGAGGTGAGTGGATTGCCTGAGCCCGCGGGTTCGAGACCCGCCTGGGCAACTTGGTGAGACCTCATCTCTACAATAAATCAAAAAATTAGCCGGGCGTGGTAGCGCGCGTCTGTAATTCCAGCTACTTGGAATGCTGAGGTGGAAGGATCGCCAGAGTCCAGCAGGTCATGGCTGCAGTAGCCGGGAGCGGCCACTGCACTCCAGTCTGGGCAACAGAGTGAGACTCCAACTCAAAAAAAAAAAAAAATGCTGGTAAGGATGCAGGGAAAAAGAAACACTTGTATACTATTGGTGGAAATGTACAATAGTACAGCCATTATGGAAAACAGTATGGAGGTTCCTCAAAAAACTAAAAGCATAACTATTATACAATCCAGCACTCCCACTACTGGGTATGTATCCAAAAGAAATAAAACCAGTATACCAAAGAGGTATCTTTACTCCCAAGTTTTCTTCAGCACTGTTCACACAGCCAAGATATGGAATCAACTCAAGGATCCATCAACAGATGAATAAATAATTTGTGGCAAATATACACAATGGAAAACTATTCAATCATTAAATAAGAATGAAATCTTGTCATTTTCAGCAACATAAATGGAGCTGGAGGTCATTATGTTATGTGAAATAAGCTAAGCACAGAAAGACAAATATTACATGTTTTCTCTCATATGTGGGAGCTAAAAAAGTGGATCTCATGAAGGTAGAACGTAGAATGGTGGCTTCCAAAGGGAAAGAAGGGAAGAGAGGATAGGAGGACAAAGAAAAGTTGGAATAAAAACAGATAGAAGGAATAAGTTCTAGTATTGACAGTACAGTAGGGAAATTATAGTAGTGTTTGAGGTGATGGGTATTCCAAGTATACTGATTTGATCGTTACATTACATATTACATGTACAAAATATCACTTGTACCCCCAAAATATGTACAACTATGGTATATCAATTAAAATTTTTAAAGAGTTAATGCATATAAAACCTTTAGAACAATGCCTAGAGCATAGGAAACACTAAAAAACGGTGTCCATTATGAGATTATGAGGCCAACTTCGTGCCCAATACAGAAATTCTTTCCATCAGTTTTCTACTCAAAGTACTGCAAAACGACTGTTCACAGCAGGATGCCTAAACTAACAGAGCTCATCACAGAGCTAAAAACTACCTCCTTGAGACATTTTTCTTCTATTATAGAACAATTTTTTGTTGTTGTTTTGGGGTTTTGCTTTGTTTTTTGAGTCAGAGTCTCACTTTGTTGCCCAGGCTAGAGTGCAGTGGCATGCTCATGGTCACTGCAGCCTTGACCTGCTGGACTCAGGCAATCCTTCTGCCTCAGCCTCCCTAGTAGCTGAAACTACAGGTGTTAGCCACCATGCCCAGCTAATTCTTTGGTTTACTGTAGAGTCGCAGTCTCAACAAGTTGTCCAGGCTGGTCTTAAACCCCTGAGTTCAGGCAATCCTCTCACCTATGTCTCCCAAAGTGCTGGGATTTCAGGAGTGAGCCACCATGCCCAGACTAGAACAATCTTAAAGTCTCCTCTCTCATGTCCTTCAAACAGGTTGTCAATGGGCAACTTAAAACATAGTATCTAGAATTAATACCATATCTCACAAACACTATGCTCTACATTTTCTTAGTATTTCCACACATTTTGATTTTCACAACTCTAGAAATTCTGAAAAACCTTCAGATAATTATTACCACCTTAGAGATGAGAAAATTGAGGCTTAGGTTAAGACATTTGTCCCAAAAACAGATAGTCAATAATCAGAGAAGCTGAAATCCCAACCCCAGCAAAAAAAGTTTCCTCTAACTCTTAGACCCAGTATACAGCACAGCCCACTAGAAATGCTACCTCCTATAACTAGTGCAATGGATTTCGATCAATGCCATTAATACTAACTTATTAGCAGCCATGACACCACTAACACACTCTCAACTTCTGATCTGGTTTTTACTCAGATTTAGGCCATTGCAAGTCTCCCTTCACACAGGTCGCAGTATAGAAACTGCTAATCAGACACAAGTCGAGATAAAGTACCAAATACCTTCCTCCAGGAAGATATGCATCAACCCTATTGGGGCATCACAATTTACCCAGCCCCCATCACTCCACTTAAACATGGGTAATTAATGAAACACTCTATAAACTACTTCACTGAACTCGAAATACACTACCTTCAGCTATATTCCTTTGACTTAGAAATCTAACTAATAAAGATAAAACTTTAGTTTTGAGTAACTTACTAATGAATCCTTGTAGGTGTCTAATGATCATGTTCCTTTAAGTATTCGAATACCAGCTATTAAAATGATTAATAGTTATCTTCTTCAGAATTTAATATTGAATGAACATTTTTCTAAGGAAGATATACAAATGGCTAATAAGCACATGAAAGGATGCTCACCATCACTAGTCATCAGGAAAATGCAAATTAAAACCAATGAGATACCACTTCACCCCTATTAGGATGGCTAGACTCAAGAAGTCAGATAACATGTATTGCCATAAATGTGGAGAAATCAGAACTTTCATACACTGCTGGCTGGATGGTACAGTCACTCTGAAAAACAGACTGGTAGTGCCCTCAAATGATTAAATACAGAATTATCACATGACCTAGCCACTCCACTTCTAGGTATATACTCAAGAGAAATCAACATATGTGTCCACACAGAAACTTAGACATGACTATTTATGGCATTATTCATAATAGCCAAAAACTGGAAACAACTCAAATGCCTATTAACTGATGAACAGAAAAACAAAATATAGTATATCCATGCAATTCAGCCATAGAAAGGAATGAAATATTGAAATATGCTACAGTCCAGGCTCAGTGGCTCAGCCTGTAATCCCAGTACTTTGGGAGGCTGAGGCGAGTGGATTGCCTGAGCCTGCGGGTTCAAGACCAGCCCAGGCAACTTGGCAAGATCTCAACTCTACAATAAATTTTTAAAATTAACTGGGCATGTAGTTCCGGCTACTTAGAATCCTTCTGAGGCAGAAGGATTGCCAGAGACCAGCAGGTCGATGCTCACCCAGGCTGGTAAAGAGTGAGACTGCAACTCAAAAAACAAAAAAAGAAATATGCTACAACATGAATGAACCTTGAAAATATTATGCTAAGTCAAAGAAGTCAGTCAAAAAAGAACACATTATATCATTAATTTATATGAAGTATTCAGAATAGGAAAATCTACTGAGACAGAAAGTAGATTAGTGGCTGCTTAGCGCTAGAGAGCTAGGGGGTGATAGCTAAAGAGTACAGGTTTTCTTCTTGAGGTCATTAAAAAGTTCTACAATTGACTGTGAATATAATAAAAACCACCAAAATGTACACTTTAAATGGGTGAATAGTACGGTATATGTCTCAATACAGCTACTGAAAAAAAAAACACTCTAGGAGAATAAGGGAGATATTTTCTTTTTCTTAGACAAAACACTATAGTCAGTTTTATCATTAGTCAGAGTTCTACTAACTGTGGTTTTACACAATCATATGTCAAGCATGGCTAAAGATCATTATCTATAAAGAACCTGTAATAAAACTAGTTAAATAATTATTAGGTTTAGAACAGAAGTGTTAAAACATGAACAATCCTCTAACTTCTGCTGATGAACTGTATCCCTGACATAAATGCATTTGTATCTACATTCACAAAACAAAAATGCTTAGCCAGGCTTGGTAGCACACATCTATAGTTCCAGCTACTTGGAAGGCTGAGGCAGAAGGATCACCGGAGCCCAGCAGGTTGAGGCTACAGTGGCCGGGAGCATGCCACTGCACTCCAGTCTGGGCGACAGTGAGACTCCAACTCAAAAAAATGCTTAAACTTCATATAAGTTTAATATAAGGCTCTATCCAGAATATGATTTTTAGAACAGCCAATCCAGAAAATGAACAGAAAAATGTCATACCATGAAAGACGAGTAAAATATGGCTCAATATCAAAACAGTTTTATATTTTGTTTGATATTATGTTATGAAGCCCAACTCAGTACTATCAAACAGGTAATTTACATACCCATGGTATAATTAGGAATTTAACACTAGATTTGGAAAAAAGTGAACACCTGGCTTTGCTATACTTCAGCAACACCTAACATCACAAAAAATGTAAACATTTTCAGAAATACCACACCATGCTTCTTACTTCAGCCAAAATAAATTCATTAAACTGGGTGCTCGAATTTCCAAAGCACTGAAGTACATTGTAAACTTTCTGACACATACACTTGGAATAAGCCTATTTATTAATATTTCTAACAAAAACTATTCTCTGATAGCTTACAATGTACAAAAGACTGTTTACAAACTTTAATTTCCCAATCATATCAACAGACAACAGCAGATGAATAAATGGAAACTTGCCCCCCCATAAGGAAAATCTAATATATGGTATAAAATATTCTCCCCCTAAACAAATCTTAGATCAATATTATATAGAATGATGATATTAGCTTACTCCTAGCAACAGAAGATATGTGGCTGGACGAGTCTTATAGAATTCTTTCAGCCTTGCCAATGGTTTAGCTGCTAGGGCTGGAATTGAGCATTAACTTCAGTGAAAATCAGGTTTTATTTTTAAGTTTCAAAAAACAGAATCTGTATTCTAGAATTTAAAATTCTCAAGTTCTTTATAACCTCTTTTCTCCTTTCACTCTGTCAACTGCCACAAATAAGCTCTATGTCTAATGATAAGGGAACCTCGTGCAACAGAAGTGAAGCAAAAGCAGCAGGTTAAAATTGAGGTGAGATCTCAGGAAAATCATGGGCAGAAACACAATTGTGTTATAGATTTCTTTCTAAAGCAGAATTTTATGGAATAGGCAAACCCCCACAGACTTGCAAATATAAAAATTACCATAAGAATATTTTCAATTTAGCTTGCCAGAGGATTAAAAATAAATTAATGATACCTCTATATTGGGTAGCTGCTAATTTTAACATATACAGGAAGTCAGATAAAAGATTTTTTGGGGCCGGGCTAGGTGGCTCAGCCTGTAATCCCAGCACTTTGGGAGACCGAGGTGAGTGGATTGCCTGAGCCCGTGGGTTCGAGACCCGCCCAGGCAACTTGGCCAGACCTCATCTCTACAATAAATCAAAAATTAGCCAGACATGGTAGCGCGCGCCTGCAGTTCCAGCTACTTGGAAGGCTGAGGCGGAAGGATCGCCGGAGCCAGCAGGTCGAGGCTGCGGTGGCCGGGAGCGGCCACTGCACTCCAGTCTGGGCGACAGAGTGAGACTCCGACTCAAAAAAAAAAAAATTTTTTTTTTTTATATCACTTGAATAGAATTCAACCAATGTAAAGTTGTTTTTCTGCTCTAACCTATGAAAATTGACAAAAACCTTAAATGCCATTGCAATTGAGTAAAAATAGGAATATCAGCATCAATCTCAAGCTTACTTAGAGAATCTCCCCCACTTTCCTCCATCTTCCCCAATATAACAGTGGCTGGAAGTTTACTTGGCCTTGTAGAGCTGGACCTGGAGAGCAGGCCTCAATAAAAATAAGTAAATGCTTTTATTATCACAGGATTTTATTCATTGCATAACAATTACTCTATCCTTTCCAATAAGAACTTCATTCTCCTCATTAGAAGTGGCTGAAGCAGGCCAGGTTCGGTGGCTCAGCCTATAATCCCAGCACTTTGGGAGGCCGAGGAGAGTGGATTGCCTGAGCCCACGGGTTCGAGACCAGCCCGGGCAACTTGGCGAGACCTCGTCTCTACAATAAAATAAAAAATAGCCGGGTGTGGTACTGCGCGTCTGTAGTTCTGGCTACTCAGAAGGCTGAGACGGAAGGATCGATGGAGCCCAGAAGGTTGACGATAGGGTGGCCGTGAGCATGTGTGCCACTGCACCCCAGCCTAAGTGAAGGAGTGAGACTCCAACTCAAGAAAAAAAAAGTGATTGACGCAAAACAAGAGTAATAATGTATAATCTATTAACACCACACCATCATCCCTAAGTTATAAACTCAATGATCTAACACAAGATCTCTATTGAAGTTTTTCCTCCTTAATGCTTCTTTGAACATAGCATAAAACATTTTTGGGGGGAGAATGATTTTAGCATTTTTTGGTATACTTCATTGCATGTCACTTCTTTACATTCAAAAGAGTAATTCAACAGTCAAAAGACTGCAAGCTTCTCAAAGGCAAGGACTGCACCTTATTCTAGTCTCTATCCTCTGTGCTCTATAACCTGTGCTCAATAGAGGTTTGGAGAATTAGGAGATGAATAAACAAACAGAAAAATGCTGTTATCAGCTTGGTGAATTGAAAAAGTAATGTAACTTCTAAAACCTTATCATTTCCTCATCTGTAAAACTCAAAAAAAATACCAACTCAACCATTCTCAGAAGACTGTCAAGAATTAATAAGCAAGATATAAGGAAGAACCTTGCAAATTTGAAGGAACTGTACAAATGTAAGCTAACCATTTCCCTGTTAGTTCCAGTCTCATGTTTAAAAGTCTCCTAGTGTAATTATATCTCCAGATATCTCCTATTCTTCTATCTGATCAGGTGTCCATCAACAAATACTAAGTTCCCACAGACATATATTATACATTATCATACAGAAATATGATTACCCACATAAGTGATGTCACTCAAATCAGCATGTATAAAAGCTGTCTATTGTAACATTTTAAGTCATTTTATACAACATAAAATAAGAAGTTTAACTCACCGCACATTTTTCCACTTTGCCAGCATTATTAGCCCATTTTACTAAAGCTAATAATCGAACGAAGAGTTGGCGTGTCCGGCTAGCAAACTGCACTATTTCTATTTTCCTATAAAATAAAACAAGTCGTAATAAACCAACATATTAGGAGTATTTCACAACTTTTTTCATCTGAGCTAAAAATAAATCAATCTTTGTTTATAACCACTATAACAAAATGAACTGCCTAAAATATTTATCTAAATATGAATTATTTAATTTTGTACACCATCTGCATATACTTTGTCACTTCAGAATAAACCCCAATAAAATGTTTTAGCAGTGAATCACATTTTTAAATTGTAATAAAAGTTGTTTACTAAAACACACCAAATTCATAGATATATAGCAGTGGAAGTTAACTGCTCACAGGGGGACCAAACTAGGAGTTATGAATTATAAATTTCCTAATGGAAATTAGGAGTAATCTAATTAGTGAATAATTAGCAACCCTTTTGCTAAGAGAAGGGACTTGAAATAGATTTTTATCAAAGCTTGAAACTGTGTCCTTTCTAAAAAAGCAAGGGCTCATTTCCCTTTTGCAACAGCATGATTTTTAAAAATGAATTAAATAACTATGCAACTCTTTACCAAACTAATTTCAATGACAAACGTAGATACGTTAAAAATTATCCATGCAAAGTTAAAGAAAGTATGTTGAATACTAAAAATAAAAGGAAAGCCTGTCCATATCTATTTTCATGCTATATCCACTATGCTTTCCCCACAACACTCATCAGTACTTTTATCATCTCCTCATAAAGTCCCCAAAGCTTTACTAGAAGCTTTATGTTGTCAATCACTGTGTTGGCTTAGACCTCTCAACTTCATAGCAACTAAAAAACTGATAATCATACTTTTCATGATTTACCTTAAAACACTGAAAAAATTTTCAACAGGCCAGTACTGATGACAGGACCCAGGCAGGACACCAACTTCCCTCCAAGTGAACTCTGACCAATTAATCTTAGTACAGCTGTTCAATGACCTACAGATCCAATCCACATCTCTGCATCTTGCTGATAACACCACCATGATGTAATACACCAAAGTAAAAGTTTCTGCTGAAGTAAAATCCTGGCTGAAGGCTACAGGGTCTAGCTTCTATTGAAAGTATATGTAGCCCACAAACAATCTGAAAGGCTTCCTTAAAGATCAGTTAGCGACATGATTAGTAGTACTACAAGGAGAAGAATCAACGGCACAATTATGACTCTGCCAGTGTTTGCGAAGGAACACAAGAGATAAAGCAAGCAGAGTATAATGGACAAGACTGAGACACAGCAGAAATGTTAAATGTACATACATTAAGATCTGGAAACCACTCAGGGTCAGGAGCCTCAGTACTGTCACTCTAACTCAGCAATGGCTTACAAGGCATGCAAGGTCTCTGCTCCTCTCCCAGAACAAACATATTTGTATATTATTAATTGAGTTTCCCAAATGCAGTCCTCTACTACAATGGAGACATCCCCCTTTGTAAACTATCATAACTTGGTTTTCTAATATCATGCCGTCTCAAGTGATAGGGAACATGAATTGGTTTTATAAAGACCCAGTTTCCCTGCCCACCCTAGAGAGGACAGAACAAACCCTCAACTAATGTTTTCTTCCTTTAATACTGACCAGCCAAACCATAACACAGGTATGCTTCAATTGTCTCATCCACATCTAAGTCTAGTTCTATCAAAAAAAATCAGTTGGTAGTAGAGTGTTGCCACTAAAAAATCCTAAAAACTTCCCTAGTGACTTGGTATTAAAGGGGGGGGGCACATACATAGTGCCAAAGATAGCCTATACTGTAGTCACAATTTAAAACTCCATCACATGATTTCTTTAAAACCTCAATTTATCTTGTGCCTTTGGCCTATGGAAACACCTAGTGTTTCGTTAAGTCTTAAGCTCTAAACTCCAACTGAATCAAAATTTTCTCAACTTTAAAACAGCAACAGCAGTAGGCAAATGTCAACTCTCTAAAGATACTAATAGTAACACTATAGCAAATGATAAATTAGCAGCCAACTTCCTAAAGCCAGTCTGCTCCTCGGCTTCTTTTATTACAGACTGTATCGTCTATATCTTCCTATCCCCCTCTGGGACGTGACCAGGTCATTCATTCAATAAAGGTTTGTAGAATGAAAGGTATAGAACTTCACAGCACATATTATTAAGGACAAGGGACAGGTGCAGTGGCTCAAGTCTCCAATCCCAGCACTTTAGGCCAAGGCAGGAGGATCACCTGAGATCAGGTGTTTGAGACCAGCCTGGACAACATAGTTGAGACCCTGTCTCTACAAAAAATTTAAAAATTAGCCAAGCATGGTGGCTCATACCTGTAGTTCTAGCTACTCAAGAGGCTGAGGCAGGAGTATCACTTGAGCCCTGGAGTTTGAGGCTGCAGGGAGGCATGATTGTACCACTACACTCCAGCCTAAGTAGCAGAGCAAGACCCTGTCTCCTCCTCCATCATCTCTGCCCCTCCCCCATCGCCCTAGGCTCTTGGGCCTAGGTTTCCAATCCACAGTGCTATACTACCCATACCCATATACGAATACTCATAAATTGATCAATAAAGAGGCAGATTTAAAGATTTGTCATACTCACCTTTCCACATCAGATTTTCTTGGCAATCTAAGAAGAAAAAAAAAATGGATTCAGTATATGCATACCTTCATCAGAATGTGATAATTGTCTTTGCTTTTACTCTATTCATAAATACCTTCGTGTTTCAGAAAAACTGAGTAAACAGCTATAAGAAGCTCATGTGGCTACCTGGTCTTTTTTATATTTATGATTTCCAGCAATATGTCTGCAAGGGGGAAACAACCAACAAAGGAACATTTCTCTCCATTTAAAATGCTCCAAAAGAAAAAAATTGCGTGAACCTCAAATATTTAAAAAGCCCAAGTCTCACGTTAACACACTATATTATAGAGTCAGAGAAAATATTCTTTTAAGACCAAAATGGTCACAGATGCAGAAGTTGCCAGCCTCCCTGTATCCAATGGATACCTGTTTCCAAGCAATAATCCCTCTGTTTTGTTATGGTGGGCAAAACTGGAAACTAAGCACACAAAAGGGCCAGTGTCAGTCAAGGGTATTACAGTAATTACGATGTTGCAAGGTGGTTATATGAAAAAATTTTTATTACTTTTAAACAACTTCAATAGAATTTTTTATTTCTTTTTGCTAGTTCTCCAATATTGATAGCCAGCAACCAAAGTTAAATTCTTCTCTGATAAATATCCTTACACTCTCACATCCAATAATGCTTAAAGGTCCTGATCTGCCTCCTGAATTGCCAAATTCTGTTAACCTACAATCTCCATAGTCTAAGATTCAATGGCCTGAACAACTCTTATCCCTTCCCCATATCTAATCAGTTCTTGAATACACACCTAACCACTTAGATCTTCTTCTCCCATCCACATGCCATAGGACCAGAAAATCTAAAACTACTTCCAGAGGTTCAAAGCACAAGGAAAGGAAACTATTAAAATTGGCTGGGTTTGGTGGCTCAGTCTGTAATCCCAGCACTCTGGGAGGCCGAGGCGAGTGGATTGCCCGAGCCCGTGGGTTCGAGACCCACCTAGGCAACTTGGCAAGACCTTGTCTCTACAATAAATCAAAAATTAGCCGGGTGTAGTCACGCACGCCTGTAGTTCCAGCTACTTGGAAGGCTGAGGAGGAAGGATCACCAGAGCCCAGCAGGTCAAGGCTGCGGTGGCCGGGAGCGTGCCACTGCCCTCCAGCCTGGGTGATAGAGTGAGACTCCAAATGGAAAAAAAAATAAAATGAGCTCTGGTTTGTAGTTAGTTAGTATTCTTAGGGTATATAGAATTCTTAGGGATAGACACTAAAGTTGTGATCAGAATGATAAAGAGAACTAGGTAGGGACTGGAAGGGCCAGCAGACCAGAGGAATAAGGCAGAAACTAAGGTCCCATTAGAAGACTGCAAGTAAAAGCAGCCACTGGCAAGTTATCCACATGCCAAAGCTCCTGAGAATACTCCGTGGGAAGTCACAGCCCTTGTCCTCAAGAGAGGTAGAGACTGGGAATGATGTGTGTCTATGGAGGGAGAGAAGGGGAAGAGTCTTTAGAGGTAGAAAGAACAGGAATCATTGCTCCAGCTCCCTCCACCTGTCTGAGACCCTAAAAGGATCATCTCATGTCAGAGGTAGTATCATTTCAGGGACAAAGGACAGGACTTTCCCTTTCTGCATTCCTCTTAATCTATTTAAAAGTCTTTTGTGAATTAAAAAATCTACCATTTAGGGTAAAAGCTGTAAAATACAAATGTTTGTAAGGCACAGAAACTTACATCAAAGCACAATAAGACAAGTTTACATGACTGAGATCCTGGCATTTTCTGATTTTAATTAAAAGAAGTTTAAAAAAATAAAAAAAGTAGAACTTAGTCCCTAAAAAGTCAAAGCAGAGAGTAAACTCTAGGATGAGAGCATGCATGTTTGGGGTGGGGGAGGAGACAGATAAGCAGAAGCAAAAAACTAAAAAATTTGGGACCAAATTCAAACCAACTAAATTGCCAAGGTTGTCCTTTTTACCTTCCACAGTTCACAGACAAGCATCAAATGTTGCAGAAATAAGTAATCGTGTTCCTAAAGACTCTAGAACAATGGCTCTGCATTAATATATTAATCCTGACAGTTTCTACTTGGAACAAGGAAAAATACACTATTCAGTAACTTTGATGGTACATTCCTAAATTGATGCACAAAAGATGTACACAGTTTTGGAGTACATGTGATAATTTAATATATTCAGATAATTTTAAGGATCAAATCAGTGTATTTGGATATCCATCACCTTAAATATTTGTCTCTACACTAGAAACATTTTAGTTCTTTTAGCTATTTGGAAATGTTCACTAAATTAATGTAAACTACAGTCACCCTACTTATCTATAGAACACTAAGTCTTATTTCTTCTATCAAATTTATGATAATTCTAAAATTTCACTCATTCATGTATTAAATAAATATTTATTTAAGCCCTATGTGCCAGCTATTGTTCTAGACCCTGGGAAAAGTAGAAAACAAATAAAAATCTCTGTCTTCATGGGGCAGGGAACAGACAACAAATAATGCCAGGTGGCAATCAGTGCTGTGAGGAAAAATAAAGCAGCAAGTAAAGACAGAGTAAAGCAGCAGAGTACTATTTTATGGGTGGTCAGAGAAAGTCTTTCTGATAAGTTATATGTGAACAAAGACCCAAGGGAAATGAGAAAGCAAACCATACAGATTTATGGGGGAAGAGCAAAGGCACCAAAGTGGCAATGCACTAGGCACTGTCAGGAAACATCAAGAAGGGTAGTATGGCTAAAACAGAACAAGCGAGAAGAGTTTTAGGAATGAAGTTAAAGAGATAAGGGAGAGAAGGCACAGACTACGTAGAGCCTTAAAGGTAAGATGCCACATGTCCTAATATGCACAAGATAGTCCTGGTTTATGCCTGCTGTTCTGACATTATTATTAATAGCCGCGCCTTTCATGCTCAAAAGTGTCCTGGTTTGGCCCATAAATTTCATGGTCACCATATACATTGGTGATTATAAAAATGTTTTAATCTAAGTGAGATGGGGGACCATTGGAGGGTTCTGAGCAGAGAAATTTTAAAAGGATCATCCTGGCTATTTTATGGAGAAGAAACTGGAGGGACAAGGGGCAACGATAGCAGTAGAGAAACCAGTGAGCAGACTACTGCAGTAACATGGGCGATGGATTAGGCAGCTTGGTCGAACACTTGCTGGAAGTATTGAGAAGGGGTCAGATTCTGGAGTCAGAGATGACAGGACTTGCTGATGTACTTGAGTGTGGGATATGAAGAAAGAGGAGCCAGAAATTACTCCAAGTTTTTTGACCTGAGTAACAACAGGGGAAATGGAAATACTACTTAGTGAGACAGCAAAGAAAGTTTTCCCGGAGGAAGAGTGGAATCAGGAGTATGGTTCTGAACTTAGCTGAAATGACCATTAGATACTTAAATGTAGCATCTGGATAGAGAGTCTGGAATTCATCAGCGAGGTCTGTGCTGGACATACATATATTGGAATCATCATCATATAATGGGCAAGGGACTATTAATATATACTTATTCTACAGCAATAAAACAGATGCTACTCTCTTCATAAACTGAGTCCTAAATAGTAAAAAGAACACAATTCAAGGAATTTCTACAATGTCCTATGGAAAAGCAAATTACACAATCGCTGATAGTTTTCAACATCTTTTTCCACAGCTCTATAAATCACAGGCAACCTTCACATACCCGAAACCTTTTTTCTGAAATCCAACAATAAACGGTACAGAGGAGTATATAACTACACTACAATAGTCCCTAATCATGACAGCTATTTAAATTTCTCATTAGCCAAGGGTAGTCCTCTTTAGCTCTATCTCTTTCTGCCCCTAAAGTACAGTAGGTCAAAATTGAGGGAGAATAATATTTTACAGAAGTGGAACCTATTCTAATTATCTGTCAGCTGCAAACAAATATTTTAAGTCTCTAGTAACAACTTACCATGCACTTTACAGTCTAATATCTGCATACTAATGTATTTCAATTGATAACTTCAATCTGATGTCTTGCAATAGGTAAAAGGCAAAAACTTTAGATAAAAACTAATTCTGATTTGCTTTTTCTGAACCTGGATTATAAGATGTAAGAGTCCCAAAATGTTATGATACCTTTTCTTTACACACTGAAAATCATTAGTGTATTCAGATCCTATTCCGAAGGGATTAACAATTTAACCATGCCCCAAGGTATTTCATGGGTAACTAGGTGATTTATAAACATCCTTCATACTCCAAGAAACAACAACAAACTAGTTACAAAAAATATTTTACTTACACAAAATGCCCCAAACGCTCTCAAACGTTCCAGAAAAAAAAAAAAAAAAAAAAAAAACTCGAAATTCAAAATTTGGGATTATTTTACACACGACGTATGTCCTGCGTTCAAATTTAGATGTAATTACACCTTATATTTAAAATGTATTGTCAAGAGACTGTAAAACAGATTTGCTGTCTTTGAGATTTTTTTTTAAGCTTGAATATTATGTACTCCTAAACCCTGAACTCTAATCTTGGGCTTTCGGTTTAAAAGCTTCCAACGAAGAAATCAACAGAGTTCTGTTGGGAATTGGGACAAAAATTCCAATTTTCAGTAAAGTCTAACAGGCAAATTAACAAGTCTCAGTTGCTTCATCGCCAGAAAGACTCCCAAATACAAAGCTTCTCCTCCCTCTCCGCTGAAACCCGTGAGTTCAGAAATTCTACACTAGGCAGCCCAGCGGAGAAAACAGCAGCCTCTTGGGGAGAGGAAGGCGCAAACCTCTCTCAGTCGGTTGGGCGGGAAGGGGGGGGCTGGGAAACGGGCAGGGGTTTCGCGGCACTTACAGGTCCGTCAACACCATGAGCTCCGAGTAGGCCCGGTGCAGCAGAA